TGGCGCCTTACATTAAGTTAAAGGTGCTGGGCAACTGCAAGTTTATTGCAGAGGCCTTTTATTACGTAAAAGTGGTGGTGGATCGATGGTTTGGAGATAATCTACTCACACCTTAAAGAAGAGACTCTGTGCAGTCGACGGCACTCTGTCAAGTGACACAATAAAACTGCTCAAGCAGAAACAAAATGAAAATTGCGGTGGCGCCGTTTTCATTTTCACTTAAAGGCGCCAGTAGCTGCTTTAACAAAAACATGTAAACTAACAAATAAAAAGTTTTATAGATTTACAAGTAATCATTCGGGTAAATGAAACCTTGTAACTTTGCAACGTTTTTGGCGTTGGGTAATGGGTGACCATGTTTTTCAAATGTTCCACTACCAAGCTTGGTCGTCTTCTTGGTTAAACATTAACAGTGAAATGACACTAGCAAACATGCTTTTCTGTGTATTGGTTGAGATAGAAGTGGCGCTTAAGGAAAACAGGCAAAATGATCAGAACTTTTACACATAAAACAAGCTACAATTAAGTTTAAATCGTTTCAGGCATTGGATCTAACTCTGGACATCCGCACTCAAAAGCAGTTGCAGTTTTTAAACTTAAATGAAATAATGCTAAAACTGCAAGTTATCCACATCAAAAACTTCTCTTGTCAGGCCTGTCGTGTAAAACTCGACAAGTATATTTAAAACGTATATTTGCATAAAAACTTACGGACAACCGTTAAATCTGCGTTGAAATGTTTACGCGAAACTATTCTCCTGCTCTATCTCAATATTCTTTATAAACGAATTGTTCCGGGGTTTGAAAACTCGTATGATACTTTCAAGCAGCAGCTGTCCAGCGAGCAGTCAAATCGTTATCTACCCTTTTTTTTAATTCCATTTTGTCTAAAATAATCTTTAGAAGAGATTATTGAAAAGACGAGAGTCTTAGGCTTCCGATCTCAAAGTTACTTTAATGGTTCTAGATAACGTCTATTTTTACAAACGGGTTGACACTAGTTCAAGCTTACAACAATGCTCGGTTAAAGTTCCCTAACGGCTACCGGCCGCTACTCTTTTAATTTTTTTATATTTTCTGAACTTAAAAAATTATTAACAGTGCTTTAATTAAACTTATCTATCAATTTTAAAAAAATGCTAGTAACAGGGTATTTTTAATTAAAAACTGTTTTATTGTAAACTACTAAAAATAAACTTTATCATTTTTACACTTTAAGTGCAATAACTCTCTCAAACTGCAATTTTTTAAATAATCAAATAATGATTAAAGTTTAATTTAATTAACAAGTTTAAGTGGTTTTTAAATTGCATCAAATTTTAATTGGATTAAGAAATAAAATAATGAATAATTGTAATTTTTGCACAAACTAACTAAAATAACAAACTTAGTATAATTTTTGCACTTAATAAGGGCAATTGTAAAGTATTTAAACAACAGAAAAAAAATACAAATTAACTATTGTAAACTTTTATATTTGTTTTAAAAATGAAACTTATAATTGCTGTTTTTGTGTGTTTAATAGTTGGACTTGCTGAGGCAGCTCCCACTGAACAATTGTGTTCAACACCATTGTGTAAACAGTCAGCGGAATGGCTTAAAAAATCTTTAAACACCTCTGTTAATCCGGTAATTCTCTTTTAATGTTATAAAAACACAATTATTAATTTTTAATTTTAAACTATTTAGTGCGACAATTTTTACGAGTTTGCTTGTGGCGGCTGGCGCAAAATATCCATTCCAGAAAATAAATATGCCGTCGGTCCCATATCGTATATGGCTGAGCTTATGGATACACAAATAAAAAACTTGTTGATGTCTTTTAACGTGGCCATTGATGGTAAATCACACTCAAAAGTGGTCACATTGGCAGCGAAAACTTTTCAGCAATGTGTTAGCGCGACTGACAATGAAAAAGGCTTAAACCAGTTAAAAGCAGCAGTAAACGAAGTTTTTGGGGGATGGGGCATCGGTCAAAAAAACACTGGTCATTCTCAAAAAGAACAAAGCTGGCATGAGTACTTGGTTCTTGCACTAACAAAAGGAAAAATTTGGCCTGTTATCGACATTCGCATGACAGTTAATCCATTTAATTCAAGTGAAAACAACATCGAAGTAAGTTAAACTAAAATTTTTTGTTTAAAAAAAATAATTTTAAATAATTTGTTTAGTTTGCTCCTGCTGGTCTTGGTTTAAACGATTACCAATTAACAAATTTATCCGCATACCCTTCCATAATTACTGGGTACAAAAAATTTATTACAAGTTCTGGACAACTGTTTTGTGGGTCTGATTGTTCTACTCTAGAAAAAGATGTTGATGAGATAGTGCATTTAGAATCGCAACTTGCTAATGCTCGCCTTTCACCAGAAGCTCTGCATGATACGGCGAACAGTAATGTTGAGCTAACCATTAAACAGTTAAGTGAAAAATCTTCATTCAATTGGCACAAAGAGTTAATTGTGCCTATTTACAAATCTTATGGTTTGTCCGACTTTCCTCCTGAATCTGCAAACGTAAACATTTACGATGCTCCATACTTGGTCAAAAGTGTAGAAATTATGAAGAAAACTTCGCCTCGAACAATTGCCAATTTGTTTGCCTGGCGACTTGTTCAGAGTTATGGTTCTGCTGCCTCTGAACAACTTCGTTTATTTGAATTTGAATTTCTCAAAGTAAGCATGGGCATTAAAAAACTTGACGAACGTTGGAAAACCTGCATGAGTTTTGTCAATGGCCAGTTTTATTTTGACCACCTTGCATTGCCTGTCAGCAGACTCTACGTTGACCGATACTTTTCAAAAGCAGAAAGAACTGAAGCAGTAAAAATGGTGGACTCAATTCAAAAATCTTTTGGGCGATTGTTGCTTGATTACGAGTGGCTCGATGAGGACACTCGTTTTGCAGCGCTAGACAAACTGGCAATGTTGGTTAAAAAGGTTGCCTTCCCAGAAAGTTTACTTGATAATGCCCACTTAGATGCGATCTACGGTTTGAACAATGCTACGTTTGCAAAAGAAATTCAAGAACAAGAAAACCATCTGTTGAGTGTGATGGCTGCAGACAATGCATTCATGAAATTGCAGTTTCGACAATTTAATGGTTTACCAATTTATAATAAAGAGTAAGTGCCCTTTAAACCTCAAAAAGTTTTTTTAAATATTAATAAAAATGCACCATTAGGTCATGGGTTATTCATCCAAACACTATTAATGCTGTTTACAACTACAATGAAAACTCAATTAGTAAGTTTTCTAATTAATTGACAAACTTTTAAAAAGTTGTTTTTGTGTTTTCAGCCATTCCAGTAGGTTTCCTGATGTTTCCATCATTCAGTAAAGAAAGGCCATTTAGTCTTAACTACGGTGCAATTGGATCCATTGTTGGTCATGAAATCTTGCATGGATTTGATGATAAAGGAAGACTGTTTGACAGGAAAGGCAACATGATTAACTGGTGGACTAACAGCACTGCTGCTAAGTACAAACAACGAGGGGAGTGCTTAATCAAACAGTATAACAGTCTTGTTGAACCGGTCACTGGAAAACATGTAAGGTTTTTAGCAGTTAAAGCTTACAAATGGCTACTTACAATATCATTCGTTGCCGCTGATAGATTAACGGAAAAACTGGTTTAAGTGAAAATACGGCAGATAACGGCGGCGTTCACCTTTCTTTTAGAGCCTTTCGTCATGATCAACAGCAGCATCCTTCAGCTCGATTGTCCGATTTGCCGCAATACTCCCCAGAACAACTTTTTTACATTTCTTATGCAAACGTAAGAGTTTTTTCTCAAAATTTTAGCATGTGTTTAACTTTTTTTATTAGAACTGGTGTGACATAATAAGACCTGAATTAATGCCGTCAATTGTCAGCGATACTCATTCACCCAGCCAATTTCGAACCAATGTTCCGTTGATGAATTCTAAAGACTTTGCTGCTGTATTTAAATGCCCAGTTGGCTCAAAAATGAACCCAAAAGAAAAATGTGCTGTTTGGTAATAACTGCAAACCATTTTTGAATAACTTTTGACCACAACCGAAGAAAGGTAAAAAACCTCCGGTTAAAAATTCATTTAGTTGGCTAATGCTGCTAATAAAATTGTAATTTTTATAACTTAAAAATTGAGTTAATCAGCCTATCCCTAAAAAAATGATTTTTCTCCCTCTGCACTGACTCTTTTTGCTCTACAAATTACACCTTTAAAAATATTAAAAAAACGGTTTTCACCAGTGCAACAAAATAAATGGCATCTTTCTAATGATACCAAACTCGAGTTGATCAGATGACCGGAAGTGCCTTATCTGATCATAGTCACTTTTTAAAACAGCCATATTAAATACTTAATGAACTNCTTAATTGGTCTGTGTCTAATTTGGTGTTTCTCAAAACCTTATGGTTTACCAGAAAACCCAAAAAGTTTGAAACGTTGTTTGTTGCTATGCGCCGCTGGCTTTTGTTGCCACGCGCGCGCATCGTTATCGCAGCAGCAGCAGTACTGGTTCAGACTTTAAGCGCTCGCTGCCGCCGTTTTCGGCCTGGGCTGCAGTGC